CTTCACTCTCAGCAAGACAACGCCGTAGGCTGCACCAGAGTAAACATAGACTTGGGCGAGAGCTACTGAATCCAGCTGTATCCACCCGCACACTCTCCAGCCTCTCTGGGCATCAGCGAGAGAAGAGCCTGCAACTGGGTTGGTGGTGAGGCTTGTCGTGGGTTGCACGGCACCTAGCTGATACTTCTGTTGCAAGACAACGCCCCATGCAGGAGCACCGACGGCCCCTGGTGATGCATACACTACACTGTAAGAAACTACTGAACACTTGCTTGGCCCTGAGGAACTAACCTGTACGCAACTGGAAATACGCATACTCAGCTTCGCAGGCTATGCTGCGTCAGCCTCCCCTTCTCTCCCCAAGCAACGCACGCTGTCTCCCACAAAGGGATATGGATATAGAGAGGACGTCTCTAGATGCCTCACATGGTGCTGTAGCATCACGTATAGTTTTTGCTGCTCTAGAGGTTCCTCTTGCTGCATTCCTTGCCGTTGCTTCTCCCGTTGCTGCATCGGTTGTCGGTGCATCTTTTGGTGCTGGCTCTCCCGCGGATCGGGTTGCATGTTCTGGCTCTAGTGACCCCCGTTCTGCTGCGCCTGCCGCTTGCTTGTCTTGCCCCTGTTGAACTCCTGCATGGACTTGCTGCAGCCGGGGCTTGCTTCAGCTAATTTCGGAGCTCTTTGCCGTGCGCCTGAGTTGGAAGCTTCATTGAATGAAGTCTTGCCCACCTACTAATTCATATCTCCAAAGCTGATCCCCGCGGCTCTACCCAACGCGGCTGCTCACCCCCCTGCGCCCTTCTGAGTAAACGCAACCCACTGGGGTTGAAAGGCTATGCCTTAAAGTCTTTTGGCTTAGTTTCTTGCCCGGCGTTCTTGTTTGTTCTTCCTGCATCCCCACGCTGCTGCAAGTTGTGGAGAGCGGTGCTCAGCTGCGGGGGCACGGGAGTGGCCCGTGACAGCCCGATATAATAACTCCAGATATAACGTCGGGTCAGACAACTGTGTTTTTGTGTATCCCAGGGGGTACAGATAGCAACGGGTCGAAGAGTGTTCTGTATTAGGATAAACGCATCCTTCACAACGGAGGAAATCAACAAATTTTGGCAAAGATTTCCATCGGTATACAGCCGCACAGAGTAAAAAAAAAAATAATTTTACTTCGTTCATTTTGACCGTCTCTCTCCAGCTTTTTTTTTTCAGTGATCTTCCTGTGGAAATTTTTAAACTGTCCCATGAATGAATTCGCGCGAGAATTCGCTCAACAAATTCTTCTCCCCGCTCGTATTGATATTTTTCTGAATGCCTTGGAGCTTACAGATGCAATCCATGAATAGTTTCGTCACTCTGCCTGCTGACTTAGCCTGAAAAGTAAACAAGCAGAGTGACAAAACTATTT